CTTATCAGGTTGGCTTTCTGAGGGTATGAACTTGTCTGAAGGCTCTGCCCGGGAAGCAGCTCAGCTGTGAACCAAGTGATGACGTGATCACAGGTTGTTTGAATTGCAAAGGGCATCACTGCCAGTCCAGCTTCACCGGGGCTTTCCCCTGCTGGTGTTGGCCTGGAAACACAACACTTGCTATTGATTTCTGGGGGTAAATTGGCTGGACCAGCTTCACCAACATAAAGGAGACACTGGGCCCAGGACTTGCTGGGAGACCTTGCAGCGAGGGCTCAGCACCGTGGGGCTTGAGCAGCAGCTTTCCTTTACAAATCCTGCTGGAAGAGGGACTTGGCTTTTCATCACAGAAGCTGGTTAGTACATAAAATCAAACACAGAGGTAAATGAAAAATTTCTTCAAAATTATGTTCTCATACCCTGGCCTCCCCTCAGCCCAAATCCTTCCTTTTTAATTCCACCGTTGTTTATGTTTGGGGTTTTTTTTCAAACTTGTGGTGGCTTTTTTGTTTTCTAATGAAACCATTTATAAAGAATTCACACACCTGCATTGTTACGAGATGAGTTCTTGCAGATAATTTAAACACCAGTTTAAGATTCCAGGATAATATTCCCTTATTATCCGGCAATGACCCTGGGGATATGGAAAATCCAAGTTTGGTCATCTGCAATTTACGATCTTACTGTAGTTTTTCTGTTTTGTTTTCCAAGGGTTTTGCAGAACGACTGAAATCTCCAGTATGGAAATAGCTTTCCCTGGAATTTCACTCTCTACTTTCCTTTCACAGTCTCCTCCTCCAGCAAAACTCCTACAGCCATAGAGCTACAAACCTCACCTTTGGCCATTCATCTTTTCATTCAGAGCTCTTCTGGAGCCTTTGAAGTGCTAATGCTCAGCACAGCCACGTGGGCAACAAACAGGCAGAGGTGGGTATTTGTGTCACTGCATTTGAATAACCAAGGTTTAAAAAAAAGTTTGTTCCCTTCACCTCCCTTGGGCAGACTCTGTGTAGCTCAGCCCATCACGGGCAGCCCCACTTTGAAGAGGGTTTTTGTACCTGCTCCGTGGTCGAGAGGTTGCATTTGTACCTTGGGAATCCTTTCATGGAGTCAGGTTCAGGACAGGCTGTGTCTTGCCCTGCAAAACAACTCAAAAGTACTAGTGAAGACTTGAGTGGGAATGGGGATGTGGCTCACGAGGCTGTGCCAGCTCTGCCAGGCTGGCAGCTCCTCCAGCACGTTGTGGCTGAGGTCTGTTCCTGGCACTCAGGGCTGGCCTTAGAACAGCTCCTCACCTGCCAATCCCTGCTGTCACCTCTGCCACTAGTCCTTCCCTCAGCCCACAGTCCTTGCAGAGGGGACAAGCAGTGAAGGGAGGTTGTAACTGCAAGTGTCTCCTGAGGAGACATGAGTGTGAAGGCTTTTTCAGGGTGTGCTGACAAGGTCTGGAGAGAGAGAGAGAGAGAGAGACCCTCTGAGCCCCCCTGGGCATAGAAGAGCACACACCACGTCATGGGACTGTGCCACAGCCTGTGCTCCACACCAGGACTTGCTCAGGAAGCCCTGGGAACAGCCTCTGTCTCTCCTGATTTCCCGGTGTCCCCTTTCATGGGCGGTTTTGGGATGGAGCTGCCCCTTCCTGGGAAGGGATGGTTGGCAGATGCTTTGCTTGCAAAGCCACCAAGTGCTGGGCTAATGCCCTCCATCACCCAAGAGCCAGTTCCTCTCACTGCTGCAGCACTCCCAGGGCTGCCAAAGCCAATATGAGGGATGTGCCTGTAGCAGCAAGACAGATGAACTTTTTGTCTGGCATCCACCTTTTTTTTTCCCCCCCTATTTTTGATATCCAGGATATGTCTATGTCCCTTTGCAGCAGAGACACTCCCACTTCAGTGCTTCTTCTTTATGGGCTTAGAGAGGAACAAAAGCTGTTGAAGTTGCTGTTGTCTCAGAAGTGCCTGAGATGGCAAATCTGGGTGCAGGGCCAGCAAGAACATCCCGGCTGTCACTGACTCAGGAGCTTTTCTTTGTGTCTGTAGCTGTGCACCTGCGGCTGTCCGGGCCCCTCCTTGGGTGTGTGTGGAGAGATGTGTGTTAGTGGGGCTCCTCTCCAGCTCTTTGTGGCCTGGCCAAGAGTACTGGAGGTGTCAAGGCAGAGGCTGCTCAGGAAGTCCTCGGTGAGGCCGAGGCTGCGCAGAGGCCTCGCTCAGGAGAGATCACAGAGGCTGCAGGAAGAGCTTGAAGCGGCAGCTCCGCTCCCCCGGGACGGCAGCGACAGAAGGAACGGCACGTACGAGGCCGGTGGGCTCCTGCCAAGCCACGGAGACTCGGGCTGTGGCCACCCCAGGGGGCTGCTCCTGTCTCCCACCGCACCGCCATTCATAACGTGGGATCTGTTTAAATCGGTTTCCCTCCGAACAAAAGAGCCAGATTAGCCCTCTGCACTTGAAAGCGGCAGATCGGGGCCGGTGCTGCTTCCTACGTGAGTGTTGAGAGGCAAATCCCCGGAGTGAAACGGAATCCAGGAAAATAATAGTAATGGTGATTCATCTGTGTCTGACATCTGAGCATCCAGCAGTGCTCCAGTGACCTGCTGCCGTGGTGTTACTGCACTCCAGTTCTTGAATGGGTTCCACAAGCTGCAGGCTCTGGGCTGCGTTCACCTCGATAGTCGTGTGAATTCCTTGCTCCTTTACAGACTCCAGAACATAACTGTGCACCCTCTCTCACCCATGGATTCATCATCCTCTGAGCCCCAGGAGCTGCAGGGATTCACAGTGCCCGCTCAGGTGGTTATTTCACAAGGCCAGCAGGTTCATTGGTGTTTCATGGTGGGGTGTGTGATGCCTTGTGTTTTAAAAGAGAGCTCCGAGAGCACAGCTGGAGGGCAGGATTGGTGTCTCTGTCTGGAAATGGGCTCATCCTGCTCTTACTGCCAGCAGGATTTAACCACGTTTGGTATAACAGTGCTGAGCTTGGCTCCACTTGTAGAAGTTGTGTTGGGAGTAAGTTCAGTTGCATTGGTTAATGCCAGAATAAACCACTGGACCTTGGCAAAGGCTTTGCTGCTTTGGAAAGCCATGAATCTCCGGGTAATGCAAAATCCACCATATTCACAGTGCCTTACTACCTGTCTCACAGAGACCTTGCCCAAACAACATATTCATCAGAACCTGAAATAATGGTTTCTCTGTCCGTGTCTGACTTGATAAACCACAATTTCCCTTGGCTCAGCCTGTAAAAAGTGCTTCCATGATCACAAAAGCAGATCTTTTTCTAATAAGGTATATCCACTGCAGAAAGTTAATTCTGGTCTTCCTGAGGTGCTGTAAAGCAGCAGAAGGTGGATGTTGGCACATGTTTCAGCACTAGGAAAACAATGTGTGTAAAAACCCTGATGTAAATCCATTGCTTTGGGGGAAAAAGTGCTTTTCCATGATAGTTTGCCCTCATTTAAGTGATTATAACAGGCTCTGCAGGGGGGAAGCTATACTCATCCCAAAATAACAAATAAACCAAACTGGTGTGGGCAAGTTTAGGATCCAGCCAGTGCTGATGGAGCAGCCTGACACGGGGGCTGTGAGCCAGCAGCCTTGAGCTCACCTCAAGACTCTTTCAGCACAGTCCCAGGTGGACACTGAGGTTTGAATCACAGGAATTATGTGCTTCCCTGTTAGTGCCATCATGAGAATTGGTCCTTCTCTGTGACAGCAGAGTGCTCAGGGATCCAAAGGGCAAAGGTGTTGGTGGGAGGGCAAAGGGAGATCCTTATATCTGAAGGGAGCAAAGGGAACCTTCTGTGTGTCCCCATCGAGTTAGATATACCCCAGACACTTTCCTTCAGCATCCTGGTCAACCTTAAACACCCTTCTCCTGAGATGTCCAACTTCGTAAAAATGACTTTGTTCAATATAAATTGAGAGCTCCCCTTTGTGTCTGTCTGACCCAAAGCATTGCTAGTCAATGGGAGTGTTTCCATTTGCACTACAGTTATAGGAATCATTTTGTCCCTATTTTTCCCATATGTTTTTGCTCTGCCTTAACTTTGGATCCTCAGAAAGCATTCTCTTCCACAGGGAAATTTCCAGCTTTGCTTAAAAAAAAAAAAAAAAAGAAATCAATGGCAATTTCTTTTACTCTCTGTTTGCTAGAGGAAAGTTTATTTTCTTTTAATTGTTTGGATTTTTTTTTCCAGTTTCTGTCCTGAATTTTTCGGTGCTGCTGGATGTTACAGCACTGGTGTGAAGTTCAACCTCTGCTCTGTGTTTTGGTGGCGAACACAATATAAAGTGTGAAACCTGTGATGGAAAGGTAAGTAGTTATTAAATTATATTTATCTTCATATTCCCTGTTGGTCTAAGATCCACCAGTGCAGCCAACCCTTTTCTCTGGTGATTGCATCAGGATTAAATTTTTTCTAAGCTCCTTAGACCAAAACTCAAACACTGCAGCCCTGTGAGTAACAGCATTTCCTAATCCGTGGTATTTTGCCATTTCTTACATCAGGAAATGCCCCGTTGCGCGATAACCGTCCTCAGACCGAGCGCTGTCAGGATTTTTGTGAAATCCCTCACTTTGGGTCAGCGCGCTGCTGGGGCGGGGGGGACTTTTTTTGATGTGGCAACTGCGCTGTCCCCACCGGCCGCAGCAGCAGCAGCGCCCGAGCCCTCGTGTTTGGCCACAGCGAGCGCAACGTTTTACTCCTAAATTATCAAAGTGTACCCGAAAACACCGGAGAGCCGCCCACGCGCGACCCCGGGACGGCACCCCCGGATGGGGTGCGGGGCCGGGCGATGCGGAGGAGCCGTCCCGGGGCCGGGCGATGCGGGGGCGCCGTCCCGGTCCCGCGGGTTCCCGGCCAATGGCTCCGCTCCGCGCACTCCCCGCCCCGCTCGCCCCATGTGCAGAAATAGCCCCGCCGCCGCCGGCAGCGGCTTTTCCGCGGGGAGCGGGCGGCAGCGGCGGAGCATCCCCGGCCGGAGCATCCCCGGGAGGACCAGCCCCGGGAGCAGCGTCCCCGGGCCCGTCCCGTCCCGGATGGCCCCGCGGCGGGTCCCGGCGGCGGGCGGGCGCTGAGCGGAGCCCCGCGGGCGGATGCCGGGTGGGGGCCGGGCGGTGCGGGCAGCGGGGGGCCGCGACCCGGGGCTCGCCGCGCCCCTCCGGCCCCCCACGGCCCCGGAGATGCGCGTTTGGCTGCCCCGTGGCTTGTTGGTACCTGCGGGAGGGCGCCCGGTGGAAAGTCCCTTCCCTTCATGAGCAGCTCCTGCTCCTCGCCCGGGCTCTCGCCATGGACACTATGCAAACCACCTACATCGTGCTGGAGCTGATCATCGCCGTGCTCTCCATCGCTGGCAACGTCCTGGTCTGCTGGGCTGTGGCCATCAACAGCACCTTGAAGAACGCCACCAACTATTTCCTGGTGTCCCTGGCGGTGGCTGATATCGCCGTGGGGTTGTTGGCCATCCCTTTTGCCATCACTATCAGCATTGGATTCGAGGTGGATTTTCACAGCTGTCTCTTCTTCGCCTGCTTCGTGCTGGTGCTGACACAGAGCTCCATTTTCAGCTTGCTGGCGGTGGCCATCGACAGGTACCTGGCTATTAAGATCCCACTGAGGTAAGAGACTGGAGTGGATGCAGCAGCCCCACTCCCTGACAGGAGTCAGCCCAGAGTCTGGTCTTCCTTGTTTTAGTGTTCAGGAACTTCTAGTCTCAAGAATTTTGCTGCTCACAGGTGATGGTGAAAATAACAGAGGTTTTGCACTCAGCAGCCTCAGGACTGGGATCAGTATCCCGCCTCTTACCTCAAAATGCACCTGGAAGCTCAGTTTCTGGAGGGTGTTTTTCTTGGGAGGGTCAGTGGTTTCTTGGGGGAGCCATGGAGTGTTTTAATAGTGCATTTGGGATAGTTGTAGCTAATCTATGTAGGTATTCATACAGCCCCCTTTATTGTGGTGTGCAGGCATCTCCCAGGTAATTAAATACAAGAGCAGCCACTCTTTCTCCTACTTCCCACTGTGAAAAGGAAAGAGAAAGGATTCACATGTCAGATCTCAGAATTTTACAGTTCAGACTTCCATCCAAGTGCAGCATCAAAGACATTAATTGGTTTCCTTCTAATTCGTGGGAAATTGAATTATAATGGGGAAAATTGTATGGAATATAACTTACAGGCACCCCACCAGTGAGCTGGTGCAGCAGCTGCCTTAAGCTTAAGTGCACCAAAACCCCGGCTTTGCATTATAAGCGACCGGAGTTCACTAGTCTCAGTCTCCTTCCTGTCTCATTTGTCCCTCCCTGAGAATAAGACATTGATGGACCCCCTGGGGAGTCCAGAATGGCTCCAGGGACTGGTCAGGAGCAGAGGCTGTGGGGGAGCAGGGCAGATGTGGTGTGGGGACCTCAGCTGAACTCTGTTAGCTGCAGCTTTCCTGAATTCCGCTCGTCTCTGGCACCTCCCTTGCACAAGCGATGGGTTCACCTTAAAATGACTTTAAAAAAAACCCCTTCACCTGTTCTGGCACTTTGCATCTGAGACCTCCCATACACTGAGCAAATATGAATTAGTCACCAGGCAGATGATCAGAACTGGTAGTGGAAGTGTGTGGCTGGGTGTGTCACCAGAGCACGGCGTGTGGAAATTCCGGGGCATGTAGAGTAAGTGGGGGCAGATCCGCAGCCGAGCACGGAGCAGGGCAGGTTGTTTCCAGCACCCCCAACCCTGGCTCTCACCTTCCCAGCCACCTGACTGGCCTTCCAGACCCACCTTGGCTCCGGATAATGCTTTGGTGCCTCTTCCTTTAGTTAGTTTGGGGCTTTCTCGGGGTGGGGGGTGGCAGCACAGCAGCAGCTGTGTGAGCAGGTCAGGGTTTTCGAAGTTTGTTCCGTCATAGCCCTGGCCACAAGCTGTCAGGCTCGGCTGTAACTCTATTTTTGTACCACAAGCTGTCAGGCACGGCCACAGCTCTGCCTCTGTACCACAAGCACTTTCTGCAGCTGAGGAAATGTTGTGAGAGGGGTTTGTGCTCCGCTGGGATCCGAGGGGAAGCAGCAGATCAGGAACGCTCTGAGGGGATCGCTCATGGGTTTGCAGAAGGAAAGTGGTTTTGCCAACTGACAAAATGGCAAGGATTTCCTCCACTCTCTTTTTTTCTTTCCCCAGTCCTGGTCTCGAGCGGGTTTGCTCACCCTCCATGAGGGCAGTTCATCCCAGGGCAGTTCTGCCTTGCTTTGGGATCCTTTCCCAGCATCGCTTTCTCACCCCATCTCACGCCAAATCTTTTATTTCATTTGCACAAACATCTTTATTCCTATGAGTGCTTTCTAGCTGGACACAAATGGAGACCAAGCAGTCCCATCCTAGGCTGTCTGAAGTGTGAAGTTTGGATTAAACTTGGTCTTGGCATTGAGGCCCATTTCATTGCTCTCAGAGGGGACCAGCAAGTAAAACTCCTTTCAAAGGAGGGGAGTTCTCCCTGTGAGGAACAGGGGGCAGTGGACAGGCCACTGCTTTGGCCACAGGAGATTTAGGGACTGGTAGTGAAAGGCTGTTTTTAGCTGTATAGCCAAGATCAAAAGAGGATAGAGGAGGTTATAAAACTACACAGGCAACGCACTTCTCCACCAGGGTTTTCCAACCAAGGCTTGGTTAGAGCTGTCTCATCAGCATTGTTATTCCTGAGATCCTCCATGGTACTGCTGGCAGTGAGAGGGGAGGAAATTCTCCCACCACCTGCTCCAGGTAGATGCACGTGGCATTTCTGGAAGGAGGTTTGTGCTGTGGGAGGGGAAAGCTGATCATCAGTTTGTAAGAATGGAGACCTCAGGAAAAGTTTTTCTCATTCAAACACTCACTCTGGAGGCCAGTGCAGAGGCTGATACCAGTCTATGAAGTATTAAACATTTAAGAAAATGATTTGTGCCCAGCCCTATCCAGCAATTACAATAAATAACGTGGTTGTTGCAGAGCAGATAAGTGTCCCTGTCACATGCAGAGCATCACCAGCTCCCCATGGAAACCTCAGCAGGGACATTAAGAACTGTCTGTGCCATATTATTTAATGCTCTTTCAGAGCTGTTTGAGGCTGCTGAGAGGCTGGGCAGGGGTGAGCAGCAGAACTTGCATTACAGCCAGGCTAATAATGGATTTTTCAGTTCTGTGGCTGAACCAAAAAATCCCATGGGGAAGAGGAAAATTGTTTCAGTCAAACTGGAACAACAATGTTTGGAGGTTTCAGTGAAACAAAGTGATCCTGACCAACCTGGCAGATTTTGGGTTGAGTTGTTTAACCCTTCTGATGTGGCTGTGCTGCTCTTTGAGATGAGGACGCCCTCGCTGGGGAAGGAACTCATCTAGAGAATTGCAGAACAAAAACCTTATTTAAAAATGGTGGTTTAGAACCCTCCCTCTTCTGGCTAAAAATATTTGCTGAATTTGACCTGAAGCCACGAATTCCTTCTGTCCCTTGAAACTCGTATTTTGTTTGTTTGTTTTCGACGAATTTACTGTTTGTGGAGAAGCCCCCGCCCACGCTGCCCACTCTGTGCAGCTGCAGCTCCGAGCCCTTCCCTGGGTCCCTTCTCCCTGGCCATCATACCAGGATGCAGCTCCTTGTCCTCAAACATGCTCTGACCCTGCCTTGTTTCCTGCACCCTCCTGGACTCCAGCGCTTCCAACCTGGCAGTGCTGGCGCCTGTGTGTGCCCGTCCCTGTGCTGCCCAGGTACCCAGCACCATCCCTGCTCCCCTCTGCCAGCCTGACCCCCCCAAAAGCTCACTCCCCCACAGCACTTCCTCCAAGCAGAATATCCAAGCCAGGGGATGGAGCATCTCTCAGCAGCAGCAAATCCGTCCTGCAGAGCACTTGGCACTGGAGCGACGCGAGGCTTTTGCTCTCTGGCTTCCTCTGGGGCTGGATTTCACCCCACAGTCCCAGAGCTCCGAGCCAAAGAAGATTTGTACGTGGAATAAAACAGTTTCCTTCTATTTGCATTAACCAAAATCCCTTGGCATGGCTAATAACTGCAGGTACGGATGGATGCCTGGAACAAATGTGTCAGGAATTAGGGAGGGAGAAGAGGATCTGTGTATTTAGAGAGCAAAAGGAGAGTGAAATGCTGAACAACCTCACGCTGTGTGTGCCCTTGTCTGCTGGTAACTCCTGCAGGACAGTGAGTGTGGTGCTGCTGCTGCTGCCTGCCTGGCAAACATCCCAGCTTGGACCTGTGGAGGGAAAATTATCCCCAGTTCCCTGTGATTTGAGCTGATCTGGTGCTTGTCCTTCCTCCCTGGATTTAGTTCTCTCCCATCTTCAACTTTATCCCTAGCAGGAGTGAAGGACTGATGTTCCAGGGAAGCTTTGCCATGAACTGGAACAGGGTATCCATGGCCATGTCCTCTCCCTTTCTGCACCTTGCTGCCCCCCTGAAGCCAGAGCATCCATGTGTGGATTCACAATCTGTTAATGGGATCAGGATCTGTTAATGGTGCTGCCCTGGTTTGTCTCTGCTCCTGCCAGTCTCCCACAGGAGCTGCTGCCCCTCTTATATTTGATGTGGTGAAGGCAACAATCCAGCTCCTTCCTGCTGTCCTCATGGGGACAAATTATGTTTGGATTGTTGCTGCTCTTTTCTCATCCTTTCCAGAGGTGGGTTGGCTGATTCTGGGCATCTGCCTGCCCTCACTGCACCCTGCTGCTGCAGAGGAGGGGTTCCCTCTGTGTTCCCCAGCAAAGAATTCCCAGATCCCTTTCAACTCCCAGCTTTTTCCTCAGCAAAGCAAACCGGTGGGTTTTTATGGCAGGTGGGAGGACTGGAGTCACTGGGGAGGAGAGAAAATCCCCTTGGTCTTCACCTGCCGCTCACTGTGCCGTCAGAACACGGAGAACTGCAGCTGCTCTTCCTTCTTCTGCCCTCGCCTCATTTCCTTTAATCCCCGCACTGCCCTTTTTCTGAACTGCCGGGCGTGTCCCGCCGTCCGTGTGTGGCTCGCACAGCCCCGATCCTGCGCCCGGGAGGGACCCGCCCTGATTCCTGATTCCTGAATCCAGAGCAGGGGATGCTCTGCCTCCCCATCCATCAGAACGCTGTGCCTGGCCAAGGTTATCAGTGATTTATGAACTTAGAAGTGTCACAAACTCAGCGAGGGCAGGAGGGCTGGTGTGTTCACTTGAGCAGCGGAGCTGTCACAGCTTTAGGGAAGTTTGTGTCGCCCAGAACGTGGGGGGCTGTGCTCAGCCAGGGGCTGCCACGGCCTTTGGATGCAGCCGGAGCACAATAACAACATCAGGAATAACCACATGTGCCCTCATGGCCACGAAGTGGAGAGGGGAAATCACGACTATTTTTAGTTGGGAGCAGCCTCGTTTCCTTAAAATGCATGTCCCAGATCTTTATATTTTTCCCGCACCTCAGAGGTCACTTCCCTCCCCAAAAAACCAAAAATCCTGACAGGAAAAGGAGTTGTCCTTGAGACCTCTGGCCTGATGCAGCTCCTGCAGAAGCTGGGGGGCAGCAGGAATGCTGGGAGCTGCAGGGATGGTGGGGAGCAGCAGCCAAAAGCCTCAGTTCCGGGCTGTTGGCCGAGGGCACCCGTCTCCAGGCTGAGCCAGAACCCAGA